TGTACTTGCCTGGATTTGCTTACATAATTGTTTAATTGGCAGAGAATAATTGTTGTGTAATCAAAATGACTGTGAAGTTTTGCTCTGTTGTTACATTTTATATTGAAAAGAAAATGAGATCGAGACAATACCCAGTGGTGTTCTTAACTTACTTAAAATAGTGATGAAAATTCAACAAAATTTTTAAATTATCAGGATAGCCATAATAACCTTATAATGAAAGAATTCATCACTTCAAATATTGGAAGTTGCTCAGGAATTAAATTATGATTATCAATCCTGAATTTTTTTTTTTTCAAAGAATTTGTCCTTAGTCATATTTTATAAGATTCAAAATTGTAAATACATTATTGAAATTTTAAAGTCATTTGGTAAGTCTTCTCAACCTCATAAATACCCCTTGTATGTTATCTGAAACAGGCCATTGTTTAAAGTTGCAACAGGATTATGCCAAATACAACCGCAACAGGAATGTGTCATGTTCAGTTGCAATAATACACCTAGTCCACTTGTAACGGGAATATAAGTGCAGTTGCAATAGGTATACACCAAGTTCAGTTACAACCAGAGTTCACAAAGTCCAGTTACAACCAGAGTACACCAAGATCAGTTAAAACCAGAGTATACAAAGTCCAGTTACAACCAGAGTACACCAAGATCAGTTAAAACCAGAGTATACAAAGTCCAGTTACAACTGGAGTACACAAAGTTCAGTTACAACTGGAGTACATCAAGTCCAATTACAACCAGAGTACACCAAGTCCAGTTACAACCGGAGTACACCAAGTCCAGTTACAACCAGAGTACACTCTGGTTATGATCACTCTTGCATCAATTATCCAAATTATGAGTGAATATAAATGAGGTAAGTTCTAATAATTAAGATTTGCAGTAATGAAAAACATACAAAAATGTAACAATTAAATTGTTTACATTGTAACATTATATTCCTTGTGATTTTGTACAAATAACCCTCAAATGTGTTTAGAATTAAGATTACTCACATATTTCTATTCGCCTGTTTCATGTGTTCATTGCTAGTAAAATAAGATAAAGGTGTGTCTTGTCTTAGTGAAACAGAAGTGCATCTGGTAACACACTGATACCAGATGCCAGATAATGTAGACATCACTGTACAGTACTCTTACTTCAGTGCAATTGCTTTAAATGATTACTAATTCATTGTATGATTGTACCATTCATTAAATGGAAATTAATATAATACTGTTATACTGAATAGTTATTTTTCACATTTATGTTACTGTTGGATTTTAATTGTGAGAAACGATCAAGAATCAACTTTATTGGCAATGACATTTTGCATGTAAGGACTATGTGGCTATGTTATCTCTGATCAAGAAAACATTTAAATGCCAAACGTTATTCTCAATAGAGTATCTTTTTATCATATTTTTTCTTCTTCATCACGGTTCTCAGTTCACCCAACAGCAAGATTGTATTGCATTTAAAAAATTACTTTGCTAACTTACAAAATGAGGTCTATGCAATTGCATTAACTCTTCCGTCGTGCTCAGCATATAGTTAGCATCATCAGTTGTATAGTAGTCGCAAGGACATCCTTGGAACGAAGGGTAGCGCATATTAGTATGGTGGCCAACTCGAGATTCTAAGGCAAATGCAAGCCTGTTGGAATCATTTGATTGTAGACTTGAAGATATAATAGTAAGTGAATGACTTGTTCCTCCTCGCTGGAATGTCTCTGCCTTGTTTCGGTCTTCAAGATATAAGGCTGCCTTCAAAATCTTCTCTGCTGCCTGAAAGGAATGTAATTTGCCATGTTAATTCAAATTTACAAAACATCATAAAACAAGGGATGAATGTAATGAAACAGCATTTTCTGGGTGAGACCCAGAGGCTTCCCGGAGCTATCCAGGTTGATATGGATATATTAGACTTTGGCATCAGTCAATGTGAATGGAGTTCTAGTCCTACCGTGGACCATGAGCCAGAACCTGGGCCCCCTCAGAGAGGCACGAGGAGTAATAACCTATAAAATTTCACATGAAGTTATGGAGCATTCTATGTCTGCCATTGACCCAGTCTGACATCCAGAAAGGTAAGCATCCCAAAACAAACCCCCAATTCTGGTTGAAACTACTAATGAAAGTCAAACAAGTGGACAGAACCCCTCAAATGAAAACAAGCAACTGAGCATGATGTCACTACATGCTGCGCCGCCATCTGTGCAGTTCCCCCTCCCCAGGAGGGTGAAGGGGGGAGCCCCAGACCCCTCATGTCAGCTACCCACACCTTCACTTCTGAGGCTGGATGTCAAAACATGTGAAAACCGCCGACCGAAGGGATGCCGAGGAGCCTCTGGATTTCACCCAGAAAATGATGTTTCATAACATTCAACGCTGGTTTTCTGGGGGGAGCCCCTTCGACTCCCCAGAGCTACTTACCCAAAGACAAAAACAAAAAATGACTTACCCAGGAGGTGGTCGGCACATGCTCTTTAACTTGAAGTTGAGATAACTGGCAGCAATCGCCGACCCAAAGCAACACAGGCCCAACTAGGCCCAGGAACACTGACCAGGAAGTGTACAGCCAGGACCCTGTTCGACTGCCAAAAATCTCATGCCCAATTGTCAACCCAAGACATGTTCCCGAAGACAGCAGCAAGCGCAGCAAACTTATGAACATCATGGGCACGGGGATACACTGCAGGCTGGCTGGACCGAATAACCCTGTGGATGATCTGAGAGACCCGAACCGTGGAACAGGGAGGAAGAGAAACCGAGTCAACCCAAAGCGCGTCCCAGGACACTGTGGCTGTGGCGTGCACTGAACCAACAAAGCATTAACAACCCAAGGACCCTCCGGAAAGCAGCCATCTCATTCTTCACCAGAAAAGATGAAGACAGCTGCAAACGAACAAATCTATCACCAGCCCCAAAAGACCAGAAGCCCCTGCACCAGAGGAGAGCATGAAGCTCCCCGACATGACCCCCAAGAGGCCAAAGCTAACACGAAAAAAAAAGAGCCTTTGAGAAACGATCCTGAACTGAAGGGGCCACTAAAAACCGAGGGGTATATAGATAAGAGAGCGCCCCGTCTAAAGACCAGGACAGCTCAGGCGGCGCATGAACAGGCCAGAAGTGAAACAACGCATGAGACAGCTTGCGCAACGACACAGAGTAACATCAACACCAAAAGCAAGCTGCAGCAGCTCCAACAGCGCCGCACCATAAGAGGCGATAGTATTTGGCATAAGATGATGGTCCTGAAACAATCACGATTAACAAAATACTAAATGTAGCACAACCAAAAATATTAGTTGGTTCAGAGTATAATACAACTTTATGTAAATTTTTGGTTATGAACATTGATATCTTACATTACATTCTTACAAAGCTACTAACACTCATTGTGTTTGGGCAGGTCCTTAATCTACTCTAATATCATAATCAATTAGCACAAAGTGACCATATCCGGAACCTCATAAGACTAAACTACATATATAGAACTAGAACAAAATTGTAGGTAGCCAAAGAAACTATAAAATGGTTGAATATTAATGAATGTACAGTGAAAATAAATGTTATATAAAATATTAATTTCAAAAATTATTTATTATTAACTTTAAAAAAAATCAAGATTACATATTTAAAATTAAAAATAAAAGAATTGTGGGTAGTGAAAGAAACTTTGTGAAATAAACTGATTAATAATGTCACAGTTGTAACCAACTTTTAACCAAAGCAAAATCCTCACCTGATTACGATGTGAGCACCTAATATTGACAACATAAAATAAACTTTACAGAAAAATGGGTGTATGTAATACATCACTAGAAGAGCATTGGTTAGAAAGTCATCATCATTTAACTTCTGATATAGATACCACTTGTGCACTTTGAACCATTAAATGGTAAAGATATACATGCAGTAAATGGTACAAAACAAGCTAGAATTTTAGTCTAATTTCTCCGTCTTTTGAGCATATTGTACTGTGGTAAACTTGTGTGAAGTATCATTCTGCATCACATTGCCTGTTAATATTGGTTCGTTAACAATTGGCAATTGCAAGTGTAACATAGGGATAACAGTGGACAAGATTTCGGTTAAGAGCACTCTTCAAGTATATTAAATTTCAGAGTTAGAGTATACTGTGTGTTGCTTAAATTAAGTCCAAGTGTTGTCGGGCTAGAAATTCTAGCAAAGTTCTCAGTCAATACTATTAAAGCCATGTTCAATATATATGTTTTTGTACATCTAACTTTAAGGCTATGAAATAAACTCCACTCAATTAAGTTAGCAAATATTATTTTTCCTTGTTTTGTATATGTTAGCATTGATTGGCCCTTAGATAGGAGGACATGTGTTCCTGTATAGGTACGTGTGACTGAAATTTACAATAAGAACTATTGTAGGGCTGACACTTTATTCCTTTTATACTGTTTTATAAACTAAGGACAGGTATTCATACCTCATTCCCATATACGAGTAGTATTCAGAGTGTGTGTGTTCATACAAGACTTAAGGGCCGTAGAGTGTGTGTTCATACAAGACTTAAGGCCCGTGCCCTTACAGTGTGACTAGGGAAATTGCCTCCAGTAACAGACAGTTCAATCTTGTCAAGAACTAACATAACTTTGTGAATAACTTTGAAATTCACAAAAATAAGCAAACAAAAAACTATTTCATTCTCTTGTGTCAACTCTCTATCTATTTATATTTCTCCATCATTATTCAACTAATGTATATCTACAGTAGATGGATACTTACCATCTCCATATAACTACATTCATAAGTAATTATCAAAACAAGGTACCAAACTGGGGAAACTATGTAACACTACACATTTAAAAGTATTGTTTCCTTATGTCAGGGCAAAAAAAATTTAGCCTATGAACACCTCTATATCTGCTAACACATTAGTGTCCAAGTAATATTAATTAATATCAACTCCCTTCACAGTGGTTTTTAAAGTGTGTTAAGTACAATGTATATATTATTACTACTAAGTTACCTTTTTTATTAATGCATTTTTATGAATTTACAACAATTTAACACCTGTTTTATACCATATTAAGAAAAATATAAATGTCTTCATTTGCTACTATAACTCACACATGTAATACAATACAATACAATTTTATTTAGGTAAGGTACATACATACAATAAATTTTTACAAGGATTGGTTGACTTATAGGTAGAGCTAGTACATACAATGCCTAAAGCCACTATTACGCAAAGCGTTTCGGGCATTAATTTCTAACTTAATTAATTAAGTTTCGGGCATTATTTAATTAATTTCGGGCATGTTTATATTAACAAAGCAGCATTGCATGAGAAGAGTAGGTACAGTGGTGTAAGTGGTGAGAAGTAGTGAGATGAAGAATATAGAAGTTATTTAGGTAGATATTGCAGCAAGTGCCAAGCTTGCTGGTAGGTGGTGCACTCAACTAGTTGTACTTGCCTGGATTTGCTTACATAATTGTTTAATTGGCAGAGAATAATTGTTGTGTAATCAAAATGACTGTGAAGTTTTGCTCTGTTGTTACATTTTATATTGAAAAGAAAATGAGATCGAGACAATACCCAGTGGTGTTCTTAACTTACTTAAAATAGTGATGAAAATTCAACAAAATTTTTAAATTATCAGGATAGCCATAATAACCTTATAATGAAAGAATTCATCACTTCAAATATTGGAAGTTGCTCAGGAATTAAATTATGATTATCAATCCTGAATTTTTTTTTTTTCAAAGAATTTGTCCTTAGTCATATTTATAAGATTCAAAATTGTAAATACATTATTGAAATTTTAAAGTCATTTGGTAAGTCTCTCAACCTCATAAATACCCCTTGTATGTTATCTGAAACAGGCCATTGTTTAAAGTTGCAACAGGATTATGCCAAATACAACCGCAACAGGAATGTGTCATGTTCAGTTGCAATAATACACCTAGTCCACTTGTAACGGGAATATAAGTGCAGTTGCAATAGGTATACACCAAGTTCAGTTACAACCAGAGTTCACAAAGTCCAGTTACAACCAGAGTACACCAAGATCAGTTAAAACCAGAGTATACAAAGTCCAGTTACAACCAGAGTACACCAAGATCAGTTAAAACCAGAGTATACAAAGTCCAGTTACAACTGGAGTACACAAAGTTCAGTTACAACTGGAGTACATCAAGTCCAATTACAACCAGAGTACACCAAGTCCAGTTACAACCGGAGTACACCAAGTCCAGTTACAACCAGAGTACACTCTGGTTATGATCACTCTTGCATCAATTATCCAAATTATGAGTGAATATAAATGAGGTAAGTTCTAATAATTAAGATTTGCAGTAATGAAAAACATACAAAAATGTAACAATTAAATTGTTTACATTGTAACATTATATTCCTTGTGATTTTGTACAAATAACCTCAAATGTGTTTAGAATTAAGATTACTCACATATTTCTATTCGCCTGTTTCATGTGTTCATTGCTAGTAAAATAAGATAAAGGTGTGTCTTGTCTTAGTGAAACAGAAGTGCATCTGGTAACACACTGATACCAGATGCCAGATAATGTAGACATCACTGTACAGTACTCTTACTTCAGTGCAATTGCTTTAAATGATTACTAATTCATTGTATGATTGTACCATTCATTAAATGGAAATTAATATAATACTGTTATACTGAATAGTTATTTTTCACATTTATGTTACTGTTGGATTTTAATTGTGAGAAACGATCAAGAATCAACTTTATTGGCAATGACATTTTGCATGTAAGGACTATGTGGCTATGTTATCTCTGATCAAGAAAACATTTAAATGCCAAACGTTATTCTCAATAGAGTATCTTTTTATCATATTTTTTCTTCTTCATCACGGTTCTCAGTTCACCCAACAGCAAGATTGTATTGCATTTAAAAAATTACTTTGCTAACTTACAAAATGAGGTCTAAGCAATTGCATTAACTCTTCCGTCGTGCTCAGCATATAGTTAGCATCATCAGTTGTATAGTAGTCGCAAGGACATCCTTGGAACGAAGGGTAGCGCATATTAGTATGGTGGCCAACTCGAGATTCTAAGGCAGATGCAAGCCTGTTGGAATCATTTGATTGTAGACTTAAAGATATAATAGTAAGTGAATGACTTGTTCCTCCTCGCTGGAATGTCTCTGCCTTGTTTCGGTCTTCAAGATATAAGGCTGCCTTCAAAATCTTCTCTGCTGCCTGAAAGGAATGTAATTTGCCATGTTAATTCAAATTTACAAAACATCATAAAACAAGGGATGAATGTAATGAAACAGCATTTTCTGGGTGAGACCCAGAGGCTTCACGGAGCTATCCAGGTTGATATGGATATATTAGACTTTGGCATCAATCAATGTGAATGGAGTTCTAGTCCTACCGTGGACCATGAGCCAGAACCTGGGCCCCTTCAGAGAGGAAAGAGGAGTAATAACCTATAAAATTTCACATGAGGTTATGGAGCATTCTATGTCTGCCATTGACCGAGTCTTACATCCAGAAAGGTAAGCATCCCAAAACAAACCCCCAATTCTGGTTGAAACTTCTAATGAAAGTCAAACAAGTGGCTAGAATCCCTCAAATGAAAACAAGCAAATGAGCATGACGTCACTACATGCCACGCCGCCATCTGCACAGTTCCCCCCTCCCCGGGAGAGAGAAGGGGGAAGCCCCAGACCCCTCATGTCAGCAACCCACACCTTCACTTCTGAGGCTGGATGTCAAAACACGCGAAAATCGCTGACCAAAGGGATGCCGGGGAGCCTCCGGATCTCACCCAGAAAATGATGTTTCACAACATTCAACGCTGGTTTTCTGGGGGGGAGCCCCTTCGGCTCCCCAGAGCTACTTACCCAAAAACAAAAAATGACTTACCCAGGAGGTGGTCGGCACATGCTCTTTAACTCGAAGTTGAGATAACTGGCAGCAATCGCCGACCCAAAGCAACACAGGCCCGACTAGGCCCAGGAACACTGACCAGGAAATGCACAATCAGGACCCTGTTCGACCGCCAAAAATCTCATGCCCAATTGTCAACCCAAGACATGTTACCGAAGACAGCAGTAAGCGCAGCAAACTTATGAACATCATGGGCATGGGGATACACTGCAGGCTGGCTAGACCGAATAACCCTGTGGATGATCTGAGAGACCCGAACCGTGGAACAGGGAGGAAGAGAAACCGAGTCAACCCAAAGCGCGTCCCAGGACACTGTGGCTGTGGCGTGCACTGAACCAACAAAGCATTAACAACCCAAGGACCCTCCGGAAAGCAGCCATCTCATTCTTCACCAGAAAAGATGAAGACAGCTGCAAACGAACAAATCTATCACCAGCCCCAAAAGACCAGAAGCCCCTGCACCAGAGGAGAGCATGAAGCTCCCCGACATGACCCCCAAGAGGCCAAAGCTAACACAAAAAAAAAGAGCCTTTGAGAAACGATCCTGAACTGAAGGGGCCACTAAAAACCGAGGGGTATATAGATAAGAGAGCGCCCCATCTAAAGACCAGGACAGCTCAGGCGGCGCATGAACAGGCCAGAAGTGAAACAACGCATGAGACAGCTTGCGCAACGACACAGAGTAACATCAACACCAAAAGCAAGCTGCAGCAGCTCCAACAGCGCCGCACCATAAGAGGCGATAGTATTTGGCATAAGATGATGGTCCTGAAACAATCACGAGAGAAAGGACAAGACTACCTTAACAGAAAGTGAAGTACACCTATGAAGAGACAAAAAGAAATGGAAGGACCGCCAGGAAACTTCATACTGCTGCCGAGACAAAGCTCGCAAGTGGGACACCATCAATGAAGCCACCTGATCACCATACAGTTGGTGAAAAAACTCTAGTCAAAAAGACCAGAGAAGAAGAACAAACCAGCCACGTAACGAACTGGACCGATCTTCTGAAACGCAGGAAAACCTCTGGGTTCAGACACCAAGCAAGCAGCGCATGAAATCAAGGCTAGGCTGGCCACCATGGGGCCAAGAGGACTACTCTCCCCCTGGTAAGTCTCCAAGTGAGCTAGGACCTAGAGCAATAGCTAAACCAAAGACACAAGGAATGCATTGAATCCCCACAGTTCAGGCAATGAACTACTGTGGAGCAGTCCGAATGGAGCCTGAGCGTCGATCTGCTAACGAACCAATCCGAACTCTCCGAAGCAACATTCACACTGCCGCGAATTCCCGCATTGTGCTATGGGTTCGACAGACGGGTGGGCCCCACTGCCCTGGCCGGCCTGGTGAGCACTGGTCAAAAATCCCCAGCCTAGAGATGACACGTCCATGAACACATTAAGCTAGGACTTTGGTAGGCACCATGGCATTGAACCCCGAAAAACCATTAGAGGAAGCCGGCGACGCAGCAGCCGATGCAAGGCTGCGTCGAAGGAACCAGAACAGACGACGAAGCCACTCCAGACCTGGAGGGTAGACCATCACGGCAAAGTTCAGGCTCCGTCACAAACCCTAGAGTAACCACAGAGTGACGGGACAGCAACCGAAGCAGAGACTCCGAAAGGAGAGACAAGGAAGTGTCTGAGAATCTCACACAAGACCCAACCAAGTCCGAACCTGAGAGGGAAACAGATGGGACTTCCACCAGTTCACCAGGAACCCGAATCCGGCGAGCTGGGAAAGAACCAAATCCCTGGCAAGCAGACACGCAGATTGACTGGGAGTCCACACCTGCCAGTCGTTGAAGTAGACCAGCACCTGAACATCTAAGAGATGGAGATGGATGACCATGCCCCGGGTAAGGTATGTGAACACACGAGATGCCAAGTTCAACCCGAACGGCAGACAACGAAAGCGGTAACTGAGATGCCCAACAACAAAACCAAGCCAATCCTTAAACTCCAGATGAATCGGGATGTGACAATATGCATACCAGAGGTCTAAGGACACCATCCAAGCGCCCAGCTCCAACAGAAGCCTGACCTGGGACAGAGTAGTCATCCCAAACGAGGGGCAATAGACTCAGGGTGTGAGACGGGACAAGTCCAGAATGAATTGCAGGTCCGCAGAGTCCCGTTTCGGGACTGGGAACAGATGGGAAACCCACCTGAGGGACGTCGCCCACTCTGAGATGACCCGACAGAGCGCAGAAGAGGCGGCCTGCCCCGCCATCCTCGAATCCCCCGAAGGAGGAGGGGGCCACTCAATGCCACCACAGGCCGTCGGAAACAATTAAAAAAAACACACAAATCATGAGACCAGGTGTGAGCGAACAGTGCGAACCTTCCCCCCATCGTCACATCAGTTAGACGAACCAGGAAAGAGCCGAGGCCCCTTGTGAGAACCAGACTTACACACACAGCGATCATCGCTCGGACTAGACATAAATTGGTTCAAAGGTGGCGTCTGCTCAGAAACTGGCACCAATAGTCTACTATGACAAGAGGAACCTCGAGCCCTGGCATGACCCTTTTGGGAAGAGCCCCCCTCCCCAGACTCTGCCTGATACTGCCTGTTACGACCCTGGGTTCTTTAGTGGAAACCAGAGGTCAAAATTGAGTTATTAAACTTAATTATAGTATAGCTGAACGCAACCCTATGCGTCATTGTCTGTATCTTCCCTGCCAGACGTAAGACTATTATTGTTTCTCAAAGAGCATTTAAAGACTGAGCTGGGGGTTGATTATTAAATAATAACATAGGCACCAACTTTGCTTACTAATACTTTCTAATCATTTGTAAAGTAACAATACGTTGCATAGGGGAAGATCTTTAATGTGCTTAGCTGCACGATCAATTAGGCTTCTTCCAGCACCATGACATGCGGGAGGCCTAGCTGGTCGCTAGGAGCGTTCTTCTCTGGCTGGCGTTCGTGGGGACGAGACCTACTCTGTGGCTGCACCCCTACTCTCCTCCCTTCTCCTCTTACTTATTTCCTTTACCTGAAGTTCCTGTACCATTAAGTTAAGTACGGGGCGTTTTAAGTGTACCTACTCTGGTAGTAAATATTGGTGAGACCTGGAGGTAGTATTTGCCAGTGTTTTGGGTACCCCTAAGTGTTGTGTTTTGTATTAGGGTACCACGTGGTGTCTCTACCCTAAGCTGCATCCAGCTTCAGTGCTTATCCAGTAGTACTTTACCCTAGCTTGTTCTTAGTGTAAACCTTGTATCCTGCCTAAGTGGACCAAGGCTTTTTAACGTAAGGTAGTGTGGTAAAGTTATTATTATTATTGTTATTGGTGTGAGTGTATATGGGGGGTTGTTAAGGGGTTAATAAATAAGTACATGAATTATAGGAGTATCCCTTCTTCCTGTGTGGGAGTGCATTGATCAACCCTTAGACTGACATATATGGTCTAGTAGCAAGGTATTATTACTGTGGATAGTTTATTTTGGGGGCCGGGCCTTTTAGCTCTCCCATATTTGATACTCTGTCTTCTAACTACCCTTACCCCTTAATAGTACCAGTTTCCCCAGCGAGCCCACAACACAATTATTTGTAACACTGCCCGACAGTAGACTCTGAAACAGCAAGGGACATAACGGCGACGAAAACTTGCGAGCCAGGGGCCCAAGCAGATTCCAACGAGGAAGCGAGCACCACCTACCAACACACAAGACGCGAAGCAAAAAACAGTGACACCACATCCGCAGGATAGGCACAAACAGCTTCAAGAGCGCAGATGACGCATGCACCGCTGAGACCAAGGCACCAGTCCCAAAAATGGTCCCAAGCACTTTCACATCCTCCTCAAGCTGATCCGAAGACAGCTCCAGGAGGAAAAAGAACCGCAAGACCGAAGCCAACAGGCCACGAGCATGCAAATCCTCAGCTACCAGTGCAGCCAAAAGGGAGGGAACCTGCACATGAAGCTGCACCATGCCAACATCCCGCTAAAGGGCAGGGGCGAACAAACACGCATTGAGGTGCTCCAACTCGCCCCTCCCTCCCAGGTAAACCAAGACCACCGTCAGCACCTCGCACCACTCAAAGAGTGCGGGTATGACAAAAAGTACGCAAGCATCCAAAGAAAACACAGGGCAGTCTGCTAGTCAGGACTACTCCGCAACCTCATAACGAACCCAGTAGGGAGACGAAGAACCAAACCTGAATGAAGACAGATTCATAATAGATGCATAATCCTGGTCTCGCAGGAGGTAAGGAGCAATGGCTTCCCGCACCTCATGAGGTGGGAAGTCAAAAACCTACAGAAGGACGGGACTAATGGACCCGACGGACCCAA